ATTAGTGGTGATCTACTCGGTCACAGGGTTCTCCTTTGGTTTGAACGTGCTCGTGGAATTGATTGTCGGGTATGCCATTCCGGGTAACGGTGTGGTGTTGATGACCATTAAGGCTCTTGGTTACAATATTGATGGTCAGGCTGAGAACTACATCACGAATCAGAAGGAGGCACACTATGCTAAGATCCCACCTATGGCTCTCTTCAGGGGCCAGATGTTGGCAACTTTCATTCAATGTTTTGTCTCGTTGGGCGTTACGAACTGGGTTCTTTCGAACGTCGATGGTCTTTGTACCCCTCACCAAGCTCAAAAGTTCACCTGCCCTGGTGATAAAACTTTCTTCTCTGCTTCGGTGATTTGGGGTGTGATCGGACCAAAGCGAGTCTTCAACGGGTTGTATCCAATCCTCAAGTGGTGCTTCTTAATCGGAGCATTGTTGCCAATCCCGTGTTACGCCTTCAAGCAGTACGGTCCAAAATCTGTTACTAGGTTTTTCCAACCAACTTTGATTATTGGCGGTTTCTTAAACATCCCTCCATACAACTTGTCCTATTTTACTCCAAGTATGTATGCTGCATATGCCTTTATGTACCACATTAAGAGACGGTACAGTGACTGGTGGGAGAAGTACAACTATGTGTTGTCTTCTGCTCTTGGTGCGGGTGTTGCGTTTTCCCCAATTATCATCTTTTTTGCGGTTCAGTATCACGCTAAGGATATTGACTGATGGGGTAACAACGTGCCATATGCAGGAGTTGATGGTGGCTACGGGCAGCAGTCGCTACTTGACGCAAGTACCTTGCCAAATGGTTATTTTGGACCTGCACCAGGCTCCTATCCTTAGTTGATGCAAGAGCACTTAGATCTTTGCTTAGACATAGGTTTCTCTTTTTCAAATTTTGTAAGCGACTTAGGTGTGTATACTGGTCTTTTGTGAGGGAATAGTGGTTTTCAATTTATTTGTTTTCTGCTTATCCTCAGTCTATCGTAGATTGTTGATAGATGGAATGAAATCCAAGATAAATTCTTGTCTGTATAGATTATTTTGCCACCATTCTTTGTCATATTCGAAGAGCTATCGTTTGTAAGTTATGCAACTGTATCGGTTATAATTAGGAATCTACTCGAAGGGATCAAAACTGTAGTATAATACTCTATCTTTCCTTCTCTTTTTAATTTTGTTTTTAAAATTTTGTTTAATTCAATTTAGTTATATTTTATAATTGATCTCCGATGCAGACATGTTGCTGTTAATATTGTTAATTGAATAGCTCCAATTGCCACAGTCGAATGTTTGATTCATGAGAGACAGCTGCTATAACTAGTATATTTCCGTGGTTTACCAGTCACTGTCAACTGAGAGATTATAGAAATACACTGAGTTTCCAAAATAAATGTCACTTTACATCTAGAAGAATTATATAAGATAGGAATCCAGTCTTATATACATAAAAGGATTAGCTTCAACAGGAGTGTAGGGCTATAAGGTATGTGTGCTTGTCTAGTTATTATTACCTAAAATCATCGAATCGGTAAAAAAAACACACGATTTTACACTGAAATGGCAACTTTACCCACATTTTGACCGTAAAACAATATTGCAACCCGTTTACATAAGTCCTTCAAGCTAAAACCTCCGAGAAAATTGGGCAGTGAACAGCATGGAGTGAAATTGGTATCTCTCTAGGGAAGACCAGAGTAACATACCAGTGAATGCTGTGGTATACTCCAAGAAATATAGACTAGTGCTCAATTAACAGAATCTCTGTTTCAGTAACGCCGAGGCCAACTAAATCAAGCAATTATGTGTTAGAAAATAGGTGATGCATGGCACGGCCTTTGGCGGATCAGTCGAAATTCTACGAGATTTCGCATCTCAAACTAAAAGCTATTGCCTCTATCTAACGCTATTCCCTGCAGTATAAGATAACATGCTCTAAAAGCACCTTGTAAACCCTTCTATGGCGGCGGTCTAATTTCTGGAAAACGAAAATATCCTGTACGAATGTTTAGGCTAAGTCACATATCTACTTTTCCTTAGAGGGAGACTATCCATCTTCTGATCTCAATGGCTCGAATACTCCTCGGTGCATAAGCAATATGGTTATCTGGAAATATTGTATCTGATTTTTAACGTAAATTTTCTGAAAATGACTTGAAATGCTTGAAGCAGAAATGATTTGTCAGTATTAAGTGGCAAGGGAGATACAGTCATATGCATTGTACTGTACGGCGATTGTCTGGTGCAAGGACAGTCGTCTTACACTCCCTAGACCAGACATGTTGAGCTCCGCTCTTAGTATTCTGTCGATGCCTTGCATACTTCGGAGCACAAATCCGAAATTTTGGTCATACAGAGTTTCGTCTAATTGTGTATTAATGGCCACAACAAACGAGTTATAGTATGTACAATACGATATAAAGGAAAGAGCCTGTTGGGTTCTTTAGATTCTGTCCTGGATAACTTTTCACACAAAAGTTGTCTAGTGACTAAGATTTGAATGTTGCCTCAAACCAAGGATCTAGATTACCAACATGTTTGATTCATAATCCCTGAAGTAACTGTCAGGGACGCGCTTGATTGTATTTCAGGAAAGTTCAGAGCATCACGCTCAACGTCCCAGGGATAATCGAGGTAAGAGGAAGTGTTCGTGTGAAGGATCTCGAGATAGTGAGAGGATGATGCCACGATCTCACACGGCATATAACGAGAGGAATCGTGTTTTCACTGGTCTGATAGTCTCAGCTGACGCAATTGTCGATCGGATAAGTGCGGAGATCTGCGCTAGTATAATGCCAAGCATTTGCTAACATATGACCGACCCAATTTCGTAAATTGAACTATACGTTCGTTAAGATGAGTTCGCGTGCTATTTAGCCCAATCTCCCTTAATACTTTGAATTCATAGAACTATTTACAAAAAGTATACCTATTTACTTAACTAGCTTGAAAAGGAAAGCTTCACTTATTCTGATGGTTAATTCGGCAGTCAGCTATGATGTCTCTGCCACCCCTACAGCAGCTGACATCCCAGGGAAAGGTGGTCCGCATCTAGACAAGTGAGTCACGCTATCAACAAGACAACTAGGATCGGCCAACCATGATGCTGCTCCTGGCTCTCAGTATACGGTCTCGAATTCTCCTCTCCTGGTGTATATCTTATGACAGATATCCTTCTTCAGCAAACTTAAAGTATCCATTACCTACTTGCTATATTATATACAAATTAAACTGTTATAAGCTTGGCTCCTTAAAACTACGAGAACTCGTCCTAGTTTACAAGCGTGTTCTAATTTACAAACTCGTTTCATTTTTTATATCACATGCTTAGTCTTGAAGTGGAATGTGCTTAGCCGTGTGGCCGCAAGGACCCCTGTACTTATCTGATCGACGACTGCACAAGCTAGGACGATCAACTCAGTCTTAGCACGCCTCTTATGGGCCGCGTGAGCTCGTGGGATTAGCCTTTCACTAGCTTGAGGCCGTTCACACAAACACCTTCTCTTATTTTGCTCATCCCTGAGACTTTGGGCATGATGCTCTGAGCTCTCCTAAGATGCCATCCGGCGCATTCCTGACACGATGAAAAATTTGGTTCTTCGGATCGTAATTTAGCCGGCGTGAGCTGCAGGGTGTGAGCTGCAGGGTGTGAACTGCAGGATATGAGCTGCAGGATATGAGCTTTCCCATATTCGTCATATCAGGCCCGACCCAGAAGTTACGCACAAAAGCCATAGGGAAATTCCGGAAAACGGGGCTCGGAACTGACTCTACAGTTGTAACAGGTTTTACGGTTTCCCTATAATGCTAAGTGCTTATCTCGGTAATGATGGCTGAAGTTGGCCCGCTTACATGCACGGCACCAAACTTAAAACCGAAGCGCTGTCAGATGCAATACGAGACTACTCTCTAGGTGACTTATGGTACGACCATAGGCTACCCCTGTTAAGCTTTAGATAATTTCTCCACGCCTCTTAAGCATTGCGAATTGCTTATCAAGCGTAGGATTGAAGGACCGGGAAGCATGCGTACTTATCCGATTATCGTATCCCTACGATAACCGAACCAGTGGAAAATTCACGGTTGCACGTAGTAGTAACTAATTTACCCACACATCGACTAGAAAGGGGTATAGTGACTCTGTAACATACATTTCTAAAGATGTGCAACTTTCGAAAAAGTTGAGTAGTGGCCATATAGAATGAAACATGTCTGTTTAGGGAGTAACACGCTGTGGTATGCGCTAAGAGATACAGGCGGGTGTTTAAATGGCTGAATCATCGTTTCGGTGATGCAAAGGCCAACTAAACCGCGCAACTGTGATGGCGATACAAAGATATCCTGTGCTAATGCTTGAGCTACTAAGTCGCATAGCCGCATTATTTCTCTAAAGAGTACCTATTCGCCTTCTGCTTTCGATGGCCCACAATATCCCTCGACGCATAAGCAATACTTCTACTTGGAGCTAAAGTATTTAACTCTTGGCGTAATTTGTTTGGACGTGATTTCAAATGCTTAAACAAGCAGATAGTTTGCCTCTACAAGCACCTAGTGACCTGCAGTCGTATGCACCATACTCTACGACCGTGGTTTGGTGCATGGACAACTGTCTACACCCTCTAGACCAGACAAGCCGAGGATCATCTGCTTTTTTTTTCAGTCAAAGCCTTGCATAGCACGGAGTCATGGAATATACAACAGAGGTATTGATCACACAGGGTTTCGTCTACTATACTGAACGATATAACACTTTTAGGCGGTCACTACAACGCATGATGCACCCTCTGCCAATCTTTGATCCCCCGTCGTAAAAGGAGTCTTTCTAATCCCGCATGCTTGTTAGCATTTTGGTAAATAGCTTGGCACATATATCAACCCGACCCTCCATGACCCCGATGTGTCTCAGGAACAAAATAGCCCGTCTTACCAATACTGTGATTTGACAATTTGTCGCTTATCTAACAGTAAATCTGCCCATATCTATGACCCCGGCCGTCTGAGACACCCTTTTCAACCGTGGTACCTCTATCCTTCAATCCATTGCGTCAGCCGAAACAACGGATATGCAGCCTTCGCCTCGTTTTTCCTCCCACATGAGATTGCGTGTCTATATTTAGATATCCTCCGTGGGGGATATTCGACTTCCCAATGTGGAGGACCCCGCGGTATTAATTTACTTACTGCTGATACGTGTACCGGTACGGCTCAAATGACTTTCCAAAAAACATATGTACGTGATTTGTTCCAATAAATGAGTATTTATTCGTCGTTTCTCACGAACATGAGGGTATATCTCTATAATCGGGAATTTCAGATGTATACTCCTCGTTTATTTGTAAAATTAGCCAGTGTATTTAGTTTGGATCCTGATTCATCGACCTTCAGGTTTCCGTCTATCCTGGATGCCGTGTACATTATTGCGTGTTCCAGGGCAAGCTCGAGGTATCATTAAGTTTAGATTCTCCGACCAGGGAGCGCATTTAGTAGCTGCAGGTTGCCATGCATATGCAACCGGTCAACTACGAGATTGACAAAAACATAGGCTCGCATTCAAGCAGTGCACAAATAAGGACTCGCGATAACGGGGACACTTTCACTCTAATGATAAGGCTAAGAGGGTGTGGGGTAGTACGGGTCACACGGGGAGAGGTCTTACACAGTTGGCTCTCAAGAAAAAGTCTATAAATACCTTTCATCCCGCCTGCGAGACACTTCATTATTCGTTCCGATATCTAGCACTTAGAAGGCTGACTCTGAATCATATTAACCATGACTGATTCAATCGCCTTTGAAACTGACCTTAGTCCCGTTGCCTCCGCCGCATTGAGCATCGGCGAGGTGGGGAAATCTCTCTCTTCCGACCAGAAATTCACCATCTTGACCAGAACCGGTCACAGTGGGTTGTTAGACCTCGACGATCTTCCACCAGAGGCCGCCTACATGATCACTAAGGTTGAGGAGTT